AGAGCTGGCGCCCCCGCTGCGGGTGGCCCTGGCCCACCGTGTCGGGCCGCGTCTGCCACGGGCTCTCGGCACTCAGAAGCTGAAGAGGTCATCCTGCTCGGTGCCGCTGCTGTCGGGCTTGTCCCAGCCGACGGGCGAGAGGCACTGGGCGTACTGGATGTCCTGCGCCGTCAGCCCCGTGTCCAGGACCTGGGGGTTCGTCCGGGATTGGGCAAGCCTGGAAAGCAGAGCTGTGTGGGCGGGTGTGGGCATGGGCGGTCCTCAGACCAGACAGGCCACGCGGCTCAGAGGACTGCGGGGTGGTTGCGGGTGTTCCCACACGGGAGAGAGGCCAGAGCCCCCGCTGTGCCACGGCTCTGACAGAACGGGCAGGGCTGTGGGGGCGGAGGGTCCATCACGTGAGGACTGGCTGTGACCACGCTCGACACCACAGCCTGCAGAAAGAACTAAGAAAGTCCGAAAGACCAGAGTCCACTCACTGATGGCCCACACCCTCAGACAGCGCAGCGTAGTCGGGGTAGGGTGTTCACAGGGAGTCTGCATGAGCCTGGAGAGATGCTTCTGACATAATGATGCTAAATGAAAAATCAGGATTCCCAAATGCACATACGTTGAGCTGATCAATGCAAAAGAACGTCTATGTGTAGGATTAGCATAAATTAAGCTCAAAAGCCTGGGCTATGGGATTACGGGACAGAGTTACTTCCTGTTTAATGCTTTGCTGATTTTCACAATTGCTAATAAAGGGCATGTGATACTTGAATAATCTCAAGAAAGCAAACGGAAGACTTTCTGCAAATGAGAGGGCTGCAGCCAGCCAGTGAAGCAGGGAAGGTGGGAGAGGGGTGTCTCTGCCTCAGGGAGGGGCCGGAAAAGCCGCCCTGGAACCAGGCTGGGTGTGGGGGGTTTCAACCAGGCTCTGGCAGGAGGGGCTGGGGAAGACAAGAGGACAAAGCCCCTGACTCTGCTCCCACCCGACCCTACCCCAAGCAGAGCCCCTACTGTGAGAGGGGGCGGGGGGGCTGAGGGTCCCAGAGAGAAACAGAGGCCTGACTGACCAGGGCCTGGTGCAGAACCTGGAGCTGCCAAGGCCTGTCCTGGGCTGCAGCCTTCTGGTGGCCTGTCCCCAAGCGGAAGGTAGCCATGGCTACAGGAATGGCCCCTGGGAACATGGAGCAAGGCTACCACCCACAGGCTTTACCAAAATCTCTCGTCTGTGCCCTGCCATTCCTCTGCTACGGAACACTCCATGGGCTCGATTAAGCGGTGCCTTCTCCCACCCCTTTTCAAAAATGCAAAACCTCCAGAGGTAAAAAGTCTGCAAAAGCTAAAAAAGGCAATTTCTGAAGGCTACACTAGGTGTGGAAAGGAGAAAGTCTATGTGAGCTACAGTGTGGCTCAGCTGAGACTGGAAGGGCTTCCCCACACGGAGAGCGAGCCCTGGTCCCTGGAGGGATTGAGAAGGACGGGCACTCTTGCTGTGGAGGCTCTGGAGGTCAGGGTGGCTCGGGTTTGCAGACCCAGGAGGAAAGGGCAGGCAGGCAGCCCAGGGGTGCCCGGCCTCCTTCCGGCACCAGGAGCACAGTGCACGTTACCTTGAGAACGCTTCGTCCAGGCCGTCGTCCAGCTCCTGAGGGAAACAAAGCGGGAGGTGAGGAGTCTGGGTGGGGAGTCCCTGCGCACGGCCACGGCTCGTCTCGCCCGGGGTGGGGAGTCCGTGCGCACGGCCACGGCT